AAGAACGGAGCAACAATATATTATATTGATATATTGCGTGGTTCCTTAAGAACGGAGCAACAATATATTATATTGATATATTGCGTGGTTCCTTAAGAACGGAGCAACAATATATTATATTGACAGTATTGCGTGGTTCTTTAAGAACGGAGCAACAATATATTATATTGATATATTGCATATTATATTGATAAATTGCGTGGTTTCTAAAGAACGGACCAACGATATATTATATTGATATATTGCGTGGTTTCCTATTTTAGGTCGACCTGTAAATCATTCATTTTCACGAACCTATTGATATATTGCGTGGTTCCTTAAGAACGGAGCAACAATACAGTATATTATATTGATATATTGCGTGGTTCCTTAAGAATGGAGAAACAATATATTATATTGATATATTGCGTGGTTCCTTAAGAACGGAGCAACAATATATTATATTGATATATTGCGTGGTTCCTTAAGAACGGAGCAACAATATATTATATTGATATATTGCGTGGTTCCTTAAGAATGGAGCAACAATATATTATATTGCTATATTGCGTGGTTCCTTAAGAACGGAGCAACAGTATATTATATTGATATATTGCGTGGTTCCTTAAGAACGGAGCAACAATATATTATATTGACAGTATTGCGTGGTTCTTTAAATACGGATCGAGCAACAATATATTATATTCATATATTGCATATTATATTGATAAATTGCGTGGTTTCTAAAGAACGGAGCAACAATATATTATATTGATATATTGCATATTCTATTGATAAATTGCGTGGTTTCTAAAGAACGGAGCAACAATATATTATATTGATATATTGCATATTATATTGATAAATTGCGTGGTTTCTAAAGAACGGAGCAACAATATATTATATTGATATATTGCGTGGTTTCCTATTTTAGGTCGACCTGTAAATCATTCATTTTCACGAACCGTATACGCTTCGTACGGTTCGTAAAGCCATTTCACGGACCGTACGGATTTGTCGGATCGTGAATCGTCTTACGAGCCGTACGAACGGTACGATCCGTCGAACTGTTGGTAGATCTGGGCAACAAGCATCCGCTATTGGAGACCACCTATTGCGTTTACGAGTTGATACGGATCGTGACTCGTGTTTACGGTCCGTACGAATTTGACGGATCGTGAAGCTGCTTCACGATCCGTATCATGTCGACAGTATTGAACATGTATGCTGTTGACTATACCTTCAACATTATCTATCAGTCTGTGTGCATATAATCTTAAACTAATATCTATTTTATATTTGTGGTGTTACTCTGAGTGTATATCCACACCGGGCGAGCTTGAAAAATATGCCGGCCATGGTGGGATTCGAACCTACGACCTTTGGAATACTAGCCCAATGCTCTTCCAACTGAGCTACGCGGTCATGACGGTTCGAGTAAGTGATATTTCGGAACAGAATCTAGTTCCTTCGATACCAATGTTTTTTGTTACCAATGTCGAACCGTCATGACCGCGTAGCTCAGTTGGAAGAGCATTGGGCTAGTATTCCAAAGGTCGTAGGTTCGAATCCCACCGTGGCCGGGCATATTTTTCAAGCTCGCCCGGTGTGGATATACACTCAGAGTAACACCACAAATATCATAGTATTCACCTGAGTACACTACACCAACACAGAAAAAAAATTAATATCTATTTGTTCATGTAGAAAAGGTTGTAAAGTTAACAAGTAAGTAAATATGGTTTCGAGTGCAACTCAGGAAAAAAGACATGCACGAATCGAATGAGTTTTTAAAATAGGATCTTTGAACCTGCGTGCATGCATGTCTCACCCGAATTCCAGTTCGATTCTTTAACCACAACTCTGTATAGGCGATGTTTTTACTATACCGGTTAGCTTTCCGTAGCGGCGCAAAAAAGTACCTATTCGATACGGAACTTAATCCGAAGCTCAGTGAAACAACAACACTAATCTCTCCGTTGTAAGACCATTGTATATAATTCCTCTGAAAATATAGCGTTCCTAAACGGTACGGATAGGTGTTTTTTTTCACATCGCTAGCTATATAGCTACGAAAAGCTATCCGGTATAACAGCGTAAACGTATAGCCTAGACAATCATAGTAAATTAATCGCAGACTATTTAGTCTAGGACCTGTATAGATGTTTGAATGCGTTTCATTTAGGACAGGTAATCTCAAATGTTTTAGGGTAAAATAAGCATGATTGGCGGTCAACATGGCATATGTTCCTGAAAATGACCCCGCCCTGAAACGGCAGTGCCGACACAGCTCCAACTTCCGAAAACGAAAAGCGACAGCCTTTCTGAAGTGCTTATAGTGTTTAGAAGGGTTGCTTTTAGGGGTGGTTAATGGAAGGAAAAATTTGTCTAAGTATAATATTTTACAAGAAAATGACCATGCACCACCCCCAGGTAAATTGCTAATTATGCATAACATATAAACTAATATGCCTAAAAAAAAATTATCATGGGATGAAAAACTATGCTTAATTTAACATAATTATTGTAGTTTTCATAAGGATTGTCATTGTTTTCTTTTATAAATATAATACATTTTATTTCACTCACCCCCCCCCCCCCCCCCCCGAAAACAGTCAGCCATATTTTGCCGTCTTGTTTGCATTTTATCGCCGAGTCACGCAAATATCATCCAGTTGTTGTACTTTTACATAATGATAAATGGCTAAAGAAGGTTTCCAACCAAGTTTCATAAAGTTTTGAAACAGTGCAATGTATTTTATCTTCGATATTGTGTCCTTCGATATTTCGTCAAATTGCCGCCATTTTAATGGCTCGCCGTTTCAGGTCTCTGCCCGATAAATGCCACTTCTTCGTTTTTATATGTATTTAGATTACAATATCCAAGAGTACTTCATTGTATAGAATAGTCCCAATCGAAAAATTGAAAACATTAGTTGCACTTGGAAGGAAAAAACCTCCCGTAAACCATTTAGGTTCAAAATAAAAAACAAATCATTTGAAAGTCACGCACAATCTTCGCGAAAACTTCTCGTGGACACATGACAGGGGGGGGTGAATATTTTCACGAAACGTTTGTTTGCAACCACAACAACCAGAGCACAACAACCTAACTAAATATATTGTATTTATTGTATTTTTATGATTTATGATAAAAACAATAAATATTTGCGTAGTTTTGTCATAAATCATAAAAATACAATAAATACAATATATTTAGTTATGTTGCTGTGGTGGCCAACAAAAGTTTCGTGAAAATATTCACCCCCCTGTCATGTGTCCACGAGAAGTTTTCGCGAAGATTGCGCGTGACTTTCAAATGATTAGTTTTTTATTTTGAACCTAAATGGTTTACGGGAGGGTTTTTCCTTCCAACTGCAACTAATGTTTTCAATTTTTCGATTGGGACTATTCTACAATGAAGTACTCTTGGATACTGTAATCTAAATACATATGAAAACGAAGAAGTGGCATTTATCGGGCAGAGAAGTGGCGAGCCATTAAAATGGCGGTAATTTGACGAAATATCGAAGGACACAATATCGAAGATAAAATACACTGCACTGTTTCAAAACTTCATGAAACCTGGTTGAAAACCTTCTTTAGCCATTTATCATTGTGCAAAAGTTCAACAACTGGATGATATTTGCGAGACTGGGCGACAAAAAGCAAACAAGACGGCAAAATATAGCTGAAATCGTGTTTTCGTGGGGGGTGAGTGAAATAAAATGTATTATATTTAAATAAAACAATGACAATCCTTATGAAACTACAATAATTACATTAAAGTAAGTATAGTTTTTCATCCCATGATATTTTTTTTAGGAAATAAGAACATTTAATTTCTGCCAGGCATGTTAGTTATTTTATGCATTACCTGGGGTGATGCATGGTCATTTTCTTGTAAAATATTATACTTAGACAAATTTTTCTTTCCATTAACCACCCCTAAAAGCAACCCTTCTAAACACTCTAAGCACTTCAGAAAGGCTGTCGCTTTTTGTTTTCGAAAAATAAATAAAAATGTGAAATGTGTGAAATACTGTTGATAGCTTTGTCTCATACATAGCTAGGCCGATCAGGCGTCCTTAATGTTTAACTCTTCTTCTTGGCTTTATTATGCATTTAAGCTGAACAAAATACCCCTTGCCATGGCCATGCATGTGCTTGTTATACTTAATCACGGGTTTTGCGAGCGTGGAACCGTCTATTATGTCATTATGAAGCACCCGCCATAAGATTTAAGATTATGCAAAGCAGTTCCGATCAGTGAAGATTAATAGATGTTCATCGCTTTTTAAGTTTCATATAGCTGCATGCTTATCTTAATCCTCAAAAGAAGCAACGCATGGTCTGTAGGCGAAAACAATAATATATTTGCAATATTTAAAGCAGCACAAAAGATAGCAGGCAGTGGGAACGGGGAATTGAAAATTTTGCAGAAATGGGTAATGGTTGTACAAAGTTACCTGCAGACTATGAAATACAAGTAAAAACAGGTAAAGTGTATTACGATTGTTATTATCTTGTGAAGCTTGCGTGTGTGCTTGTTGTTGTGTTGTGTTTCGTGTTATATGATAATATGGGCCATCATATGTTTGTGTTCTGATTGTTTATGTTTCTATTTAGCAATTTGTAAATATTATGTACAATCAAGTTATTGAATAGTGACTTTTTCAAGCTTTCTAGAATTGGCTGTTGATCGGTATGACCCACTGATTAAAGTTTTGTATTTATAACTTAAAATTCTCCATATTTATTGTGGGATCAATATTCGTAGTTCCACAGCTTTACATGCAGACACTTTTACAATCTAAGGTTGACAATTAAAACCATGCCTATATATATCCGCGGTAGTTAGCAGCGATCCAGACTTCAAGCATGCAACCACCCCAGAACTAAATCTGATTCAGTAAATCTTATAAGTATATGTTACACATGCAGTTTTATTTTTTACAGTCAGCTCGCTCGCATACTTTCAATACATGAAATGTTGATTGATTTTAGGACTAAATATAAGAATTATTCAGGAATATAATGTCCGAAATAAAGAATGGCCGCGGAGTATTCCATAACTATTTTTGACAAAATTGATGATGATATAGTATATAACTTATAGTTATACCATAACATAATAATTGTAATCCTGCACATGTCTCAATGGCTTCGTTTCTATGTTTGCCTGTTCCAGTATGGCAAGCGCATGTTTGTGCACGAATATATTTATCTTCGTTCTCTATCCCAATCACGTACATGCCGATCTGGCACCCTATTGTGGGCGAAACATGTGATGTGCAACCCACATAAAAACAAATCCATTGGCATTGTGGCAAGTACTAGTGACGTCTATACGAAAAAGCTAGATATAACTCGTACTAATATCGTTCCATAATTATTTCAGGGGACGTAAAGGGCGCTGGTACAGACTCGAATGTCTATATAATTTTAATATCCGAGTCAGGAATACAATCCCGTGCCATCAATCTTGATTGCACATGGCGAGATGACTTTGAAAAAGGAAATGTGGATAGTTTTAAAGTTGGTGGTATTTCACGACTTGGTTCCATCGGAAAAATCGTGCTATGGCGTGACTCGTCCCGATTGAATGACGATTGGTTTGTCCTGTGGGTCAAAATTAGAAATCTTCACGCATTGTACGAGAATCTAGACTGTTTCCCGGTCAATAGGTGGATCAGGCATGACAGAAGAATGGTTATAACGAAGTATGACTGTATACTACCCCAGTTTGACGACAATCAAGAACAAAGAGCTTTGGAAATTCTGGAGAAAAGAAGAACCTATGGATTGACAAGAAAGAAACCTGGAATACCAAAACAGGTAAGAAAATTCGCTTTCGGAGGATTAATGATTTAACAGTTAATGAATGAGGTTGAGCATGATTATAAAGAATTATCAAGTCCTACGTGTCCTATCAACCGTAGCCGGCGAAGGCTGAGGGCTTGATTCTTTGTTTAAAAGATGAAAAAGACATCCACACGTGTGGGTTCAATTCGTCAAAATAATGACCAGTTCCTTTTTCCTTTCATAAGTTCGTTAAGATGTTTCAAAACCTTTTGTAGCTGTTTTCGTTGATATTTCTTCATTTTTCTTTATACAGGGTGTCCCCCAAACAAGTCCCCCTTTTGAAATCACTCTTGTGCGTTATCATACCTTTGGGAATTTAATTTAATTGTAGATGAACAGCGGAAGTATTTACAACTTCCTTTAATCCTTCATTAACACTTCGGATACACTTTGCGTTAACGTTTAAGTTAATGTTACGACAAATATTCGTTGCTCTGTAGTCAGTTGAAACATTCTTACTCAAAATGACGGTAAGACGAATTAATTTGTAATTTGACATTTTTGTGTTGCTGTTCGTTTTAGAAGCTATTTTAAAAGGTATAACAACGCACGTTTAACAACAAAAGAGTGATTTCTATAGGGGGACTTTTTTGGGGACACCCTGTATATAAATACGAAATGTAAAAACAAAACCATGTTTTGGTCGTGTTTCCACATTTCGTATTCGTATTTCCAGATCATGACGTCATAACGTTGAATATGATTTTCTTCATGTTCAACATTATAAACTCAACATTTGGTCAGCTATAAACAGTTGATATCACGATTTCATAAAAATATGTAAAAAAATATTCATGTAAAAAGTATCCCAGTTTGTCATCAGCGCCCGCATTCATTTTTCGTGCCGCATGGATTTTTTTATACTTGACAACGTGTATGATATTGCGCTTGGACCTTGGCAGTTGTAATATTAATGAAAAGTGTAATAGCATTGAAAATATTGCACCATATACAACTGTGCTGCGTGTTTGAGAAAAAACAAAACAAATGCGCCCTCCCGCACGGTTTTTTTCTGCTGCCACTGATGATAAACCGGGATATGATTTATTACATGGCCTAAATGAATAATAATATGAATTACATGGACTGAACACGGAATTTAAAAAGAATTATCATAATTCAGTCATCGTCTTCTCTTAATACGGATTACTTGATAAAAATCACGTATATTCATCTACTGTAGTTTGAGCTTTCATTTGCGCATGCAATTGATATAAATCTCAACTGGAAGATTTAAATAAATAATTTTGTAAATTAATATTCGACCGTGTAAAAACATGCATGAATAGAAAGTTTTAAACATGATCTCCAGAAACTTTCTCTTCTACCTCTGTGTTTAAAACCAAGCACGTGAAATGAAAAAACTAAGTGGCATATTATTCCTGGTTCAATGTCCGCAAGTCTCAATTTCTATTCCCTTTCCCCGCGGTAGTACGTCATGACATTGGCATTAAAGTGCATCAGAAAAATAGGGATTTCAGCACATTTAGCAGATCAACTTGTGCTTTCTTTCATCTATTGCATAATCCAAAGCTAATCCAACTGCATGTACACACTCATTTTATAAATGGCATTACTACTATTGAACAATAGAAACCACTCAGAATGCGCTTTCTTCCTCCCAAGGGAACGGTCATCAATGATTATTAAATGTTACCATAAGAGCAACATCAGTAATCTGCTTCCCGCTCAGAAGAAAGCACTACCACTCATCATCGTGGTTGTGAATGTTGTCTATGTTAGAAAACAAAGACGGGACACGTACTATAGAAATGATCCTAAAAAATACGGTCATAACATTGAATGAAATATTTAGATCTTTTATTGCTGTATATGCGTGTGACGATTGTGGGACTTATGATGTTTTATTATCCTTTGGTTTTGCACATGCGTAGTATGTAGTGTGCTATTCTATTTTTACAACATTGTTAGTAACAAACACACTATTATCAGGAAAATTTATTAAGTGAAATATATTAAATTAAGTGAATGCATGGGAAAGGTCCTTTCTCAGTGCATATATAACTTCAAGAAAGTTTTCCCGAGCTTTTGAGCCGTTAATATTTAATAATAGAAATAATAGATAATCTATTATTTCTATGAATTTGATATATTAAGGGAAATAGTTAAATACAAGACATGTAGTTGTTGGTTCAAGTCTGAAGTGACAAAGTCGATTTTCATGGTTGTGTAATTCAGCCTTGCAAATTCTGCATCATTGAGGCCGGATAACTTATATTATTACATTTGCATTGTTTGTTTGTTTGTAAAAGAATGAGGAGAAAACACTTACCTAAATGTATGATTAATGAAATGCTGAATCAGCATTGTTGAAATACATTGTAAGCCTGGTTCTCCTTAATCGGCGATGTTCTACGATCCATTCTCTGCGAGTTTTCTTCGAAGAAGAAAATGACAAAACATTTTATGCATCAATGACCACCAACTATGGGCATCGCCAATGTTTATGGTAAATGAGAATCAGGCTTAACTAACTTCCAAACGCTTTTTGGATCACTGGGTACAAAAACCTAGATTTAGATCAGTTGTCAAAAAATACGCATATATGTAATAGATGTTGATGACGCACCTTGACGGTTGACGTCGTGCTGAGAACATTTGAGACTTTGAGTGGCAAACAAACGTTGTGTGCTTGTGGGATAAATATAAACTCGTATATTGCACATGCGCTCATTACTTGAATGTTATAAAAACACTTAATTACCTTTAAATTAACTTGAAAGTACGCTGCCGAGGATTGTTTCTAAACTACTTGCTAAGAGTAGAAATCGTCAAGAAAGCCTTTGCGCATTGGTGAGGAATTTGATAACCCCTGGCTAAGGACCTTTGAAATGTTTAGATATCGTATTATTACATTAAAGAATAGAAAATTGTTACCGAAAAATAATTCTTCTTATTCCGGACATTCCTAGATTGCTAAATTCCCAAAAGACGAGCACTTCAGCAATGATTACAAGGTAATAGTACTGGGTATCGCAAAATCCTCATTAGCATAGTTTGCCGCTGGCATGAAAATATTTAGTAGATTAGGGGAACTTACTTCATGTATGCCTATTAGTTTTTCCCGACATACTTTATTTCTGGTTAATAGTTCACCCTTTCGATAACAACGTCACAAATTCGTGCATTGTCCAGGAACATCATTCTCACGAATTGTGAACGATCGAATAGACGTTCGTCTTGATTCATGAGAGCCAGACCAAGGAAGTACTCGTGACGTAATTATGACAGGTTGAATTTTGGTAATCTTGCAAGCCAGCTAACTCTTTAGCCCCCCCCTACAGACACTCGAACCCCAGGTTTGTTCACTTGTACATGAAATCTGACCAACAAACGAAAATACAATTTGCTTCTCGGGCTTCAGTCTTCACATTTGCAATTTGTAACATTCCATCAGAGATTACCACGCAATTTGTAACATCCCATCGCTTGGCAAAAACCCTGGTCACCTCGGGTGTGGAAAAAATGTGACATATATACGAAACTGTTTGAATGCAATTTGTAATGTTTTTCTTCAGTGGGATATCCAAAGTACGAAGTACCGTTTGTTTGCGCAATCCAAGTTAACCAAGCTCACCACCGACTCCTGGGAAAGTTTGGAGGATTTGAAGAACATTTATATTGGAAAATTCAGTGTACCTGAGGTAAACGAGTTACAGGGCACGACTGTTCAACATTTTCTTATGTATATATGGACGCCATTATTAGAAATTGTTAATATAAATAGCAGAAGCCCGAATTACGTGCTTAGCTTAATGTCTCAATTATACCATCAGAACTGCAGTTACATTTTTGAAAGCCATGACGCCATGTACAGAAGGGAATTTTCAGTGATGGTTAAAGTTAGATCTGTACTGTTCTATATTAAATATTGCTTGCTACTTGCAATGTAACGCGCGTCCCTCGTATAGTTTTAGTTATAATACTGCTTTACAATTGTTTTTCCAGGGTACCAGATACTGGGAAGATGACAGGAATTTTGGTCGACAAAGATTGCAAGGATGTAATCCAAATGTAATACGTCTCTGTACAGAAATTCCACCAAAGTGAGCAAATTTTGTGCCATTGTGTCTTGCCAGGCATTCCAACCTTAGCCGGTAGCCAGAAATTGTGAGGTTGAAAAATTCACTGTTTCTTTTTCAAAAAAATTTATTTGGCCTCTGACGTTAGACCTATGCATCAATAAGACTTTAGTTAATAAAATATTGTTGAGATTTTGTTAACAGTTTTAAAATTGTTTTACTTGTATTGTTGCACTTATTCGCGATGATACAATTAGTAACTGAACAGTTCCCGCTCAAGGTTTTCCTGCGTACATACTGTTTTTATCGTATCATTTCTTTCGACAAAATTAATTGATTGTTCCACTTTTTGATAGCTTCAAAGTAACATCAGAGATGGTGAAGCCGTTCCTTGAAGGACGCTCTTTACAAGAAGCGATAGAACTAAACAAAATTTACATCATTAACTACAAGGGCGTGCTGGACGTGACTGGCATGGAGAACAGAAAGGTATAACGGTCATGCAACTTGCAAATTGCGTTCATGTTTTGTTGTTTATTTCCGAACATGTTTAATTCTTTGGTGTGCTCTTTATTTGATCATGTGTTATTGATTTACTGTTTTTATTTCGTTTATGTGACAGATATGGATACGCCTTTCACAAATTTGGAGATGTGTTATTTTTGAAATTAAAACAGGCACTGTTTTGAGAAAAAACAACTTTGCTGGGAAATCAAGCTGATCATACAAACTTGTTGTGTGTTTTCCTTGACTTCATTATACCAATTAGTCTGCAAGGCATAACCTGCAGTTTCGGTGCCTAGATGTATTCCTGGAATTACTATTCTGACACTATGCCCAAATTAATATACAAATTCGTGATCAAATTTTGAGTGTCATATTTCCTCACAGAGGATAAATATAAGCTTCACTTTTTATCTTTCGTAGTTGGCAATACCAATGGCATTGTTCTATGTCAACAACCAAGGAGATCTTCTTCCTATTGCTATACAATTGTTCCAGCAACCAGCTGAAGACAATCCGGTAATGCTCTTAAACAAAGTTTCTTGTATTCAAATATATCGTAGTCCCCTTAAGCTCCGAGTGCTTATTTGGTTCAGGAAAGCTTGTATTGGGATGGGGCACATTGGAGTAGGGGTTTGATAGAGAAGGACAGCATTATTTAGTATTGATTAAATCAATCTCTGAACCAATCATGGATTCATGGTACCTGCACATGTGTTTAAACAGTGACACAAATTTAAATAACGAAAAACAAACATTTTTCTCCTTCCAGGTTTTTCTTCCAAATGATCCGGCATATACATGGATGCTTGCCAAAATGTATTTTAATAACGCTGATTGCTCCTACCACCAGTCTTGTACACATCTTGGTTAGTGAATATGTACAGGATCAATTTAGAAATATTACAATCGCATATGATTATATGACATTTTGCTTCTTACCACGAGTTTTTTGAAATGACTTAATATCGATTGCCATATACATACATAGTATGCATGAGCGGTCGTGTTGTTGGTTGTCCTCTGAACTGAAGGTCAAAACTCACAACTGCGCAACGTCGACGTATATATAAGCCAGAATTGCACAATGGACACGTTTATTTCTCTTTTTATGCTGCCATACATGCAGACCCCGGCCCGTAATTAGGATTTTAGACTTACTGAGTCGAGCAAAAATAACGCAAGAATCCTCTACATATACGGTGGCCTGGGGGCATGCTCCTCAGAATATTGATTTTGTAAGGCGTAGAAACACGGCCATTTCCTGCATTGTGAGAGCAGTTTTAACATGATCAATCTCATAAACAGTGAGTTAGTGACACATTGACTATTATTTTATAGTCTATCAGTTTTACAGTTGTACCTCAATCCTAAAAATTACACTAAATATATGCTTGGTCCAACCTGAGTAGGTGCATAATAAAAACTGTTTGTTGTAATAATTGGGACGCCTAACTCACACTTCTTTTGAGTTGGGAATTTGGGAAACTTGTGCAGCAGCCGGCCAATGATCTCACTGTAGTTTTTCAAAGGACAAAAAGTGCCCTTTTTTGTGATGAAAAGTGCCCTTTTTTGTACAAGCTAATGTCGCTGTAAATACTAAATTAACATGAAAGGTGCCCTTTTTGTTTGGTAAGTTCGATGCAAAAACGTGCAATTTCGGTATAGTATGACGGGAAAATCCCCCTCCCCCGTCGCCAACATTTCCGGAAAAATATTTTAGGTGCCCTTTTCAATATCCAAATGTGCCCCTGGAAACCGGTGTCCCCCCCTCCCCCCCCCCCATCTTTTGATGCTTCGTACGCCCCTGACCAGAAGGGATGTTCTCTTCGCCTGGAAAAACTACAGTGTTGTCTCTCTCTCTTCACTAACTAGCTAGCTTGACTCATAGCTGGTTATGGGCTTGATGAAACCTGGAAAAATGATTGAGGAATATTTGCCAATTTTTCACTCATACGTTATGGGAGAATCTTATTAAAGGGATATGGCAATAAAAATTAACTTTGTCTTATTTGAAAGAACTTTTAAAGTTATATATGAAGTCCCTCTACAATTTTTTCATACCTTGCTTGGTTTTGGAAATATTTTGACCTAAAACAGTATGCAGTCCGCCATCTTGGTATTATAATTGACCTAATTAAGTGAGTTTTTGATGACGTCTAAGCATGGTAAACTTGTTAAAACTTCTTCATGTTGGACTAAATTTCTTCGAAAAGTTTCTTAAAATGTTGTGAGTTAATTGAGTACTAAAAAGACTTCGAAAAATCGAGTTTCATATTGATAATGACATGTGGTTCGCTTTTTACCCTACTTGTGACGTATGCATATCGAACGCACATCCAAGACGGCGGAATGCACGCTGCTTTTGATCAAAATAAGTCGATTTATTTCGAAGATACGGAATAATTGTAAAGGAAGTTTATATATCATTTTAAATGTTCTAGACTTTCAAAAAAACCAACTTAATTTATATTGCCATATCCCTTTAAGGAACCATTATATCATACTTCCTTATCACTTCCTTATTGGTCATTTGAGATTGTGAAGTGTTAAAATATGGCACATTTTGCAGAACAAAACTTAATTCCATTCATTCCCATCGTGCTTTTTGTGGTTTTAATTTTGACTTTGAAAGGACAATCTTAATTGAATAGATGTTTTCAGATCTCTGAGCCGAAAGCGAATGATTGTATTGCATAAGCTTGTGAAACGCAAGGATCTAGTAAGTCATAGATGTATATATTATTTTTGTTCAGGATTTACTCATCTGATCGCAGAGACTGTTTGTGTTGGGACTCACAGACAGCTGTCACCATCCCATCCGCTATTTCGCTTATTGGCACCACATTTCTTGTATATCTTGGCTATTAACTCGTAAGTTACTTAATAATAGCCAATATTTCAGTTGTTTAACTCCTCGAGGGCGATCATAATGTGTGGGTGGGGGTATGAAACCAAATTCTGTTTTAAGGTTACTTCACATGATGAACGTGCGTTTTAGTCTATTGAACATGGCGCAACGAATTTTAGGTGCAACTTTACCAAATTTTTAGTGAAGAAAGCCAAGAAAATACTGATTTCGAAAATCCTCATTAGTGATGGGTGTTCTGTTTAAACATGTCCAATATTGGCTGACTAAAGAAATATATAGGTATCCCATAAAAAAATCAAAATATGTTTATAGGTTACCCCAACGTTTGTCTACATATCTCTATTTGAATATTCATAGTACGGTAAAAAAAATGTGTGCGGAAAATTTCTCTTCTTTAATGGTTTTTCTGATATGACGTTTTCTTTGACAACTTCGTGAATTATCAGTGACAAATCCAAGAATCAGGGCATATCAGAAAAACCACTAAACAAGAGAAATTTTCCGTACACGTTTTTTTTTACCGTGCTTATGAAGATTCGAAATTGCGATATCTAGACAAACGTTGAGGTAAACTATAAACATATTTTGATTTTTTTATGAAGGTACCTATATATTTATTCAGTCAGCCAATACTGAAAATGTTTAAACAGAACACCCATCAAATCAAAATTTTCGAAATCAGCATTTTCCTGGATTTCTTCACTGAAAATTTGGTAAAGTTATACACCTACAATTCGTTGCGCAATGTCCAATAGACTAAAACGCACGTTCATCGTGTGAAGTAACCTTAATGAGAGGGTTGAAAGATTTTGTGATAAAAATAGGAGACATATACCAAACGAAATTTCCACATCGATTCTTCTCTCTTGGTTATAACATGCTACAACACCATGATATGTACTCTGTAAGCGATAACGAAAATCGGAAACTTTTCGGGCGTCCACATATTTTTGAAACAGAAATTGTAGAGAAGACAGGGAAAGTTCTTCTAAATCTAAACCATCTGTAACTTTGAAACAGCATTAGCATTCCCGGATTTAGAATTTTAGGAAAAACTAACTTAATTTACTTTGAATCTAAGTTACAGATTTTTTTCCAGGAACAGATTTTGTTTCACTGATAATTATATATATATAGTCAGCGTTGATTCATATATTCACAGATATTTACTTATGCATTGGATTAAAAACAGTTAAACAGTGAGTCTAAGAAGGTTTGTCGAAAGCTTGTCAAGATATTATGTCGGACCGGCAAATGGTTTGGCCCCTTGACCGTATTTAAGGGCTCCTGACCATATAGAGAGATTTCAGCTACAGTTCACTTTGACCAGATTAATTATCACGGCCCTAAAATTGTAACAGCATGGAAATGTTTGCAGCAAAATCATTAGCTTATCTTTCATTTTCACCTCAGGCTTGCACTAAATAAGTTAATATCTCCTAATGGTTGGATTGACAATACGATGACGTGTGGAGCAAATGGAATTGTTGAAATTGTAAAGAAAAGGTAAACCATCTAATATATATGGTTCAGCATTTATTATTTGATATGAAATGCGTTCAATCCCCAGAGGGATATCAGATATATCGATGATTTATCAAAGGTATGTTTCCCAAGAAATTATCTGTGTTCCTTCCTGCAATAGAATTGTGTTCCTTCCTGCAATTGGCTGTAGCTGTTGCGGAAATCCTGCCTTGTTTATATATATATAGTAATTTGATGTTTCTTCTTAATATTGTTACCAAGGCAAAGTTAGATAAATTAAAATTAAATAGAGCGTTTGCACATGACGTCACAGCCGCCATGCTGGTGTTCCAATTCAAAAGAATCTTAATTAGACTCTTTTGTCTGGAACGTCAGCATGGCCGCCATGGTTTTTGTTGAGTTGGTCCCTGGGGAATGAGTGCAAACGCTCTATAAAAGCTGATTGCTTATACTGTATATATTCACCGAATAAAACTAGTCAAAGAAAAAAATGCCAAAACCCAACTTGCTTTATGCTTTGACAAGTCCAGGGTCAAGTACCTAGGTATGTGTCAGAGGTACGTTAAATTTGGCCAGAAAATTTTCAATACCATAACTAAAGCTGGATTTCCACTTGCAAGAAAAATTTCGCTCAATTCCTTTTGAATTGTGAGCGGTCAAGAGAACTGATTTATTCGGATGGTCACAATTCAAAATAAATGAAGCGAAATATTTCTCTTTAAGTGGAAATCCACCCTACGTAGTTACGCAGAAATATGATTGAACTGATGAGATGACACGGAACGTAGGAATGAATGTTAGAGACAATTAGCCTAATTCTCACGCGGGCACAGAATGACGCATTTCAATATCTGGCTTTTAGGGGTACTGTCTTTACGTTGTACAGAGAATATAGACTATCTCAGCAATCTGAAAAGCGGCTTTTCAAAATTTGTAAAGGCCGAGACACACTGGACGCGATTCGAGAACGCGGTGCGATTTTTCAGTATTTGAAAGTTAATAAAACAGGCAATTGAAAGGAGATTTTAAAAGATATGTACGACCAAATAACTCAAAATGTTATAGTGTTTCTAAATATTTGAAAAACGCGTTATTGAATCGCGTCCGCGGTGTGTATCGGCCTTAACTGTAAATTTACTATTATTTTGCACACTACAATGTTAAAAAGTCGTATTTCGCTGCGCGCGCATTCTCAGACTTAGGACAAGCAGTACCCCCCCCCCCCCACCAAAAAGGCGGATAAACCGATAATTGTATGCATTGTATATTACTATGCAGTTGCACGTGCATCTTCTCGTTTATCCTTTGTTATTGAATCTTCACTGTGCTTTATGTACATTATTTAAATAAAGACTAAGTTCACCTTGAGTATTCGATATATTTATTCTCAAGTCTGTATCAGTCTCAAGTAAATGGCGATAATCATTGAATTGGAAGTAAAACCTTGAATATCGCGCCCTGAGAACATTTTGGCTGACATATTGCTAGCCTGCGAATACAGACGCCTCACATCGGGCGAAATGTACTGCCCGAGGGAGACTCCCTCGGGCAGTACATTTCGCCCGATGTGAGGCGTCTGTATTCGCAGGCTAACATATTGCTGGCATACGTTAGTTCGGTGCACTTAAATTCTGCACATGCCCTTCGGAAAGTTTTGAAATCAGCATGCAGTTTATGACTGCCAAATAGTGAATATCCGTTTAAATGCGCATGCTCTTATATATGCATGAGGAGTAATAAAGGATGTAGAATCTATAATTACAAAACTGTATAAATATAGTGTATGGTCTGATTACTCTTATCCTTTTAAGCTGGAGAAATTGGAGGATGGATGTGCAAGGTTGGTTGCCTAACGATCTGGCGTCCAGAGGGGTAAGAACTTGGCAGTATTATACCATTACTTATACCAATAAAGTGAATGAGTTGACGGCGACAAGGTATAGTATCACACGTTCTTATTCGGTATAGACCACTACCTATAGACCACTATCTGTTACTCCTAGTGTCTTCGTCAAGGGCAACTTAAAGTCGAATCGTGGCCTTTAATTAACATATTAAGAGCCAATTCTCTTCCCTTCACGAGTAAAATCTTAGTGGGTTAATACTTCAGGGATGGCGTCACTACGTGTCCAACTAGGTTATGATATACTCTTGTGAAAGATGGCTAAATGTAATCCCAATTCAAACATGATTCATGGATAAGTTTATAGTTGCTAGATCATACAGAATAAACGCCTTCAAATCTTTGACATTAATGACTATCAGCGCGGTAATGTCTCGGGCGTTACAAGCTCAATGCAAGTCTTTTTCCTATTGACTCAACATGCTGGGTAGCCAAAACTTGATGCCATTACAATGATTGAAATTTCTACCTTCGCCAGTCTTCAGATCTATATGAAGTTCTCATGTCCAACGTTTTCCTTGTTATTAAACAGGTGGATGATTATGACGCTCTGCCTTACTATCCATACAGAGATGACGCTATACTACTTCATCACGTCATCTGGGATTATGTACGCGAGGTACTCGAAGGTCACTATGGTAAGTGTTCCAGAATTTTTTTAAACCTAGGATAGATTCCATTAATATTATTTCCAAATTTTTCTTCTTTTCAACCGGGTGAAAAGAAAGTAATGGTTAATAATAGATGACTCTGTGTGCGTATGTTTCATACAACAAATCATACCTCTGACTCACACTCGCGAAGACTATAGCGTACAAGGTTTACGAGGTAAAAAGCAAGAACCTTATTCATTAACTCACTGGGAAAAAGTCATGAAAGCGAATTACAGCAGGGATTCGGAACCCAGGGCTCAGCAACAAGGGGGTGGGCCATGGGCGGTGAAAAAGGGGGATTAGTAGGAGAAGTGAAAGTGGCGGGCTAAGCCCCTCCCTCGAAAAAAACCCGATTAGAGTAAGACGGTGATATGAAGATTCTTGATCGCGCCCACAAGGCAAAATGGACAGAATTACCAACATTGTGGTCAATGAAAATCCCTTAAGTGAATTTAATTAAACAGGGGGCTTCAATACCCATCACAGATTTCACAGGGGGCTAAGCCGGTGCATGCATTTTTCACTTCGGTGCATGCCAGAAAATGCATGCAATGACAGTTCAATCGTGTTTTGCCTGTGGTGTTTGCACTTCCCCCGCCACTGGGACGGGCTTAGGCGGTTTGCGAATTTTATATGGCCTAATATTCAATCTTTCGAGATGAAATGTGTAAACATTTGTTAAGATTTACTCAAACGGTCACTGGTTAAAACCGTTTGTAATATAACTCTCAATATGAATGTTGGTCTCGCATCTTAGATCTTTAAATAAAAAATTGTGTCTGAAAATGCAAGAAATCAACCTCTGGGGCAGGTTGTATAAAAACGTAGTTAGCGCTAACTGCAGTTAAAAAGTAGTTAAAAAGCCTTAAAAAATAGTTAACTTTAATCACGTAGTTAAGCCGGTTGTATAAAAGTGTAGTTAGCCTTAACTGCAGTTAAAAAGAAGTTAAAGTTAACTATGCTTTAGGGTATAGTTAACTGTCCAAAACGTAGTTAAAAATGGCGTTTGTATAGGAGTGAACAACATTTTTCAGTAAAACAACAATGAAAAGCAACGGTTACCTGAGATTTTCAATCGCTATCTTCCCTGTGAATGTTTCCTGACAATATAAACTCTTCAAACGCTATCGCTTTGGTGTTTTACGAAAACAGAACATATTTTTGCACAGGACGATTTCTCGAAGACGAAGTATGGTCCATTACACCAAGAAACACTGATATATAATTGCCAAACAGCTATACCTTGGTTTAACGTAGACATCTCAAGGAAAACTGCATTCTTTTATGATTTTTGTGGCGGTTTTTCCTTGTTTTCTTGTTTATTTTTCACTGTTTTCTAGTGTTTTGAATAAAATTCCCGCCTATTTGCAAAATACGAGTCCACAATCATGTTGAAAATGTGTGTCAGCGGTCGTTACTCGCTGCTTACTTTATGTAATTTTGTGTTTAAACACCCCACGCAAGCCCCACGCACAGTTAACTACGTGATTAGTTAACTATCCGACTAACTACGTTTTGTGCAACGCAGTTAAGTCATGTAGTTAACTAATTACAGTTAAGGATTTAACTACAGTGATTAACGCTAACTACAGTTAGCGCTAATTACGTTTTTATACAACCGGCCCCTGAAGATTGCCACAAATCGTGGCATGAAACTTAAACTAGCGAGAAATTGAAACATTTTAAGATAACAAATTATATATATATATATATATATATATATATATATATATATATATATATATATATATATATATATATATATATATATATATATATATATATAATATACACCTATACCTATACACTGCATTAAAATGAAGAAAATTTGTGAGTCTTACATCACTGAACATGTACACATGGAATTTAATAAAAAATATGTCAATACAATATAATAAGACAATTAAATAAACTAGAGCTACCGGTACCTTAGAACTATGTGAGAGCAATTGCAAAGGAATACAATTACAATTGCTGTGTTGAGTGGTTATATTACTACCTGAAAAAAAAAAACAAGCAGAAACTCAACATTTCGAGCGAAGGGTATTTACTCAAACCGTTGAGTTTCTGGTGTTTTTTTCAGGTAGTAATATAACCACTCAGCACAGCAATTTCACATTGGTACTACCCACACTGGTACTGGTACAGATACAATTACAATACAATTACAAGCCTGCCAGCATGAATTGAACCTGCAGCCCTGCAATTCTACTGCAGCCCTCTGACTTAAAGTGTCCTTTTGCCAAGATGTAACCATAACTTTCTGTGTAATTATACCATGATGGTGGTGTCACTGGTAGTATATTAAATAAACTGGGATGACACTAGTATTGTATAAATGAACTCTTGGTTAGCTTGATGGATTCTTGGCGCTTGGACTCCCAGGCCTTGATGGACTCTCGGCTGTTAAGGAACTGTTCAGAATCACAGGGCAAACAGGTTCCATTCCCGGCACAGTACTTATTACATAGTTATTGTTCAAAATTTCCATCTACAGAAATTTGGCTATAACCCATTGAGTGGCAGCACTCTCTCCTTCATGAGTAAAATTGTCTGGCATTAGACAGAAAAAATGATAAAGTAGAGCTGCATTGCCACATAAAAGGTTAACATTCTCTTCAATGTAGAATATTTACAAGTTAGTATAATATACCTGTACTGCATGTAGTGTCACAACCTCGTACCCAGGGTATTTGCTCTTGGGGAGCGAAATACCCTGGTATGGCCTGGTCACTTGACCCGCGGATTTTGCGTAAAATGGCGTATTGTTTACAAGGGTCGGGGTAGTGAGTATATATTGTCACAATTAATTAGATCGCTCTATAAATATAAACAATATCCATTGAATCTTCAAAGAAATCGTGAAAGAACTGCAATTAAAAATTAATATTTATCGTGATGTGACTTTCTACTCTATAATCTAGTGTCGAGTTACAATTCAAGCAAGTTGGATCAGATTTCAACTTATAGACTTGTCACTGAGAAAGCACGCGTGGACGGCGTGGCAATATAAAGCAGTCACAAGAAAATATATATATATTATTATATATATCTAGACCGAACAATGTGGTTATTCATTTGTTTAACTGTTAGTAAAGTATATCTAGATACTTGAACCAAAATAATTTATTTATTGATGAGATGTGGCATGGAATTGCAACGAAATAGCGAGATCTTTTGATTTCCGAAATATCGCCAAGACGCCAACTGTATCCAGATTGTTGACTATAAAAGCTTATAAAACTTCCTGCATTGGCCCTTGGCATTGCTGAAACTCAACAATCATGGTATATGTTAAAGTCTAGCTGTCTGTTGAAAATCTACAGTATTAAAATCATACATCAAAGATAAGTCAAACGACAGTATACTATATTATGTCTTTCAATGGGTACTTTATATTAATAGTAGTGTTTACAACATTAATAAATTTTATAAACAGCTTTCGTTTTGACACAACTCACACAAGTTTAAATTTTTTGCTTTATATATATTCTTAGTAATACAAGTGAGATTTAAATGTTTTGCTTTGTGGAATAGAATACCGTTATTTTTTAATGGACAGCTTGTATCGTCTTTATCATATCCAGGATTGCTTGTAAATGCATATATCACTATGACACTATCAAATAAATATACAAATATATTTGAGAGCCTTGTTTTTTAGAGCATATTAGTGACTAATGAACTAGAAATAAACAGATGATTCACAATGAAAACTTTAAAAATGTTAGTAGAAGTAGAAAACTCGAAAATTTATGTTTATTCGTATGACAGTCTGTGCGCGTCTGACACTGTAAATTTGTGATATATAGATTTAGTATATTAGGAAAATATTATGATTAATAAAGACCAAGAAAAGGGCTAAAGCCTGACTATAATTACTGAATACTATGTACTAAATCCAAAATTTTATAATCACTGACAGACTTTCTCTGTTTGGCTAGTATCAAATGTTTACATTTGCTAATATTGGGCTCTAGTCCCAGACAATACAATACTGTTTCTTTCAATCTTATAAACAAGACCCATAGACGTAGTAACAAGTAATTAAATCGGTGCAAAGCATATAAACATTTACAAGAAAGGACAAATCTAATTGCGTATTTTAAAAACATTACATTATTATGTAGAAATGATGACTGAAAAGCTCATAATAAACGTTTGTTATAACACCGCGCTCGAGTGTGAAGAGACGGCAATGAATAACAACACGAGAGAGCACTGCGAGTAACGATTTGCTTGGTTTCTTGACTTGACTGTTGGTAAAAATGTAAGAATGTTCTTGTAAATTCAAAGCAAAGAAAATAAACAAAAATTAGCAAGTATTTTGAACTTAATAATTCGCAAAATTTATGTTTTTAACTGTTAAACAAAATATCTCCACTGGAATCATAACACGTTCTACTATAGAGTCCAATATTCTATTTAGCCAAAAATGGTGCCAATTTTCGTATTTTTAAACAAATTTGTCCAAAACTGAAAAAAACAGAAAAATTGGTGCTTAAAAACACCTTTTGTGCAAAAAAAAGAATGCAAATTTTCTTCTCTTGCTAAAACAACCAAATTTACCTAAAATTAACAATACATTTTATAGACTGTTCTGAAAAGGATCAAATAATGCAAAAGTAGCATGACAGCTAACAGTGAAAATATGTTGGTTTAACCAAAGGCATCTCTGATCAATTTATGGATTCTATATCAATGTTTCGATTTATCGAGACCATGCCAATGTTTCGATTTATCGAGACCATGTGAATGTTTCGATTTATTTAGACCATGTGAATATTTCGATTTATCGAGACCAAGTCAATGTTTCGATTTATCGAGACTATGCCAATGTTTCGATTAATCGAGACCATGTCAATGTTCCGATTTATCGAAGACAATGTCATGGTTCGATTTATCGAGACCATGTCAATGTTTCGATTTATCGAGACTATGCCAATGTTTCGATAATCGATTTATTGAGACCATGCAGTCAATGT